GTGAATTCAAAGCCAGCCTCAGGAATTTAGGGAGGCCCTAAGCAACTCAGATAGACCCTGTCTCTAAATAAAATATATATTAAAAAAAGGCTAGAAAATGGCTCAGTGGTTAAGCACCCCTGGATTCAATTCCAGCTACCAAAAAAAGAAAGAGAGATGGTATAAATCTGAGAAAACAGGTTAAAAAAGACAGAGATGATTGAAAGTGATTGATTATCGAGGTTGTTTGTAACAGTCCCCAAAGTGTATGTCAGTAATATTTTAGATTTTTTAATTAATGTGATAATAAATGCAAATATTTCTTCTTTAAAAACAGAGAACAAGATGTGATGGTGCATTTCCATAATCCCAGCAACTTGGGAGGTTAAGATAGGAGGCTCACAAGTTCGAGGCTAGTCTCAGCAATTTAGTAAGGCCCTAAATACCTTAGTGAGACCCTCAAAATAAAAAAATAAAATGGGCAGGGATATAGTTCAGTGGTAAAGCACCCCTGGGTTTAATCCTCAGTACCAAAAAAAAAAAAAAAGTAAGAGAAAAAAACAGGTGGGTGGCACACACCTGTGATCCCAGCTACTCAGGGAGGCTAAGGCAGGAGGATCACAAGTTGGAGACCAGCCACAGCAACTTAAGAAGACCAAGTCTCAAAATAGAAAATGAAAATTTAAAAAAGAGTTAGGGGTGTAGCTCAGTGGGAAAGCCCCTGGGTTCAATACCCAGTACTTCTAAGTAAATAAATAAAGTAAGTTAAAGAGAAATTAAAATAAAAGTTTAGATATAGCAATTAAGTCTTAACTTTCTCTTCACATTTATTCACATAGATTGGAAAAGAAATCAGAGAAATTTTTCCCCATATGATTTTGTGATTTAGAATGTACAGATATAAAAAGAAGCTAACAATCTTTCTAAGCATGTGAAAAATAAAAATTAATTCTGTTTAAAGAGGAATACAAGCGATTTAAATGACTTTCCTCAGATCCCTAATGTAACAATCTCTAAAACTGCAGAAGCAAATGTTTATATTTGAACAATTTAACTACAGCCCTGAAAAGCTGCTCAATGGCCAGAAAGTACTTCTTCAGCAGCTGGTACCTACCCTGGTTGAGAAAACAAGGCAGAAAATGAGTTGAAGATTCCTAGAACATTGTCTAGTGTAGCCTAGCTGCAGAACGCTCCTAAGGCTGTCACACGACATGTCTTCTAAAATGCTACCAGTAGATGCTGAATCACTCTTTTCTAGGGGATCTGGCTAAATTTTTTTATTTCCAATTTTGACCATTCTGAAGTAAAAGAAAAATTTCAAATTTCAAATTTGGAGTCTTTTATGGATGTATATTTATAGTGTTACTTATTTTAGAACAATGACTCTTCTTCAAACACTGTTTTGGCCTGGGAGACAGACACAGCGCTGATTTGCACATATCCCAAACATATCATCAACCAGGCCCTGAGCATCACCAGGCAGGTGTGCACCTGGAGCCACTGAAGAACAAACAATATTTGTGAAATCATAAAACCCTGGTCAAGTATTCCAGTGAACGTGATGCTGCTGCAAGTATAAGGAAATGGAGAACATTATCATGATGTCAGACATTCTCTCTCTTTTTTTTTTTTTTTTAGATCCTTGGTACTTTTTCTTCAATTGTGTTCCTCTGTGAACAGAACTGTAGCAGTCTTGTAATTCAGCACAAGGCAAAGTCCTAAACAATATCAGACCAGACTAAAAAGCAATTGGGCTGAGAGAAGAAATAACTAGAAAAATATTAATGAATTTTTTTTTTCTGTTATTTCCTTCAGGCCACATTTCTCCCCTACAATACTGTCACAGCACTACCTAGTCTGGGAAGGAGGCTGGCAACACTGTTGGATACTCACTGTAGAAAACAAAATGATTTTCAAAAGCTAAGTCATGATGCTAAACTGCAAGTTACTAATGTCCAAAATGAATTCAGTGCACTAGTTTCTGTTGATATTTCCTATAAACTATTCCGGTTATTTTTCAATGAATCATTTCTGCTGAAAGAACCTAGAAATAAGCCAGAGTCCTTTTATACTTGGCTTTTTAGTTTTAATGCAACAATATTAAAATATAGAGAAAACATTCTCTATATTCCTGAGAAATCAGAGCAGTCACAAAATGTTTTTTAAAAATGGCTTCCATGTGACATCATCGCTGGAATATCTCAGTTTGCACAAGTATTTGGGATGGACTTTAGAAACAGAAAACATTACTTGAGACTGATTTAGCTCACTGAAGTAATGCTCCCAACTAAAGTACACAAACTTATTTAAAGGGTAAAAATAAGTTTATGTACTTTATAACCAAATATAATGATTGCTTTATTACCCTAAGATACATTTTCAGATAACTGTGCCAATTCATTAGGAACCACAAATTGTATTTTGTTTATGCTAAAGATAACTCAAAATACATATATGAATAAATATCATTTGGTAAAAATAATCCTGATCATTTTTTTAACCTCCTGATATACAGAACAAAATTGCCTTAAATTTCTATAGAAAAAATATAATTGGTGTTTGTATTATTCTGCAATAAGCAGCCACTGTTATATTATTGCCACGAAATTTTTCCCATTTTCTCATTGCTGATGATGACACTGTTACAGGTAGTTACTCCCTACACTTCCTACTTTTCTTAGTCTCTCTCTGACACTAACCAATATGGACTAGTGAATACTTGAAAAAGGTATCTTCTTCCAATATAAACTGATTCTTTTATAAAATATCTATAGTATACCCTCTATGAGTTGAGCTTTGGTTAAAGATTTTGGATGCAATGTTCATTGAGATAGATTTCTTCAGGTTCATTATATTAAATGAAATAATCCAGGCACAGAGAGATGAATACCATAATCTCATTCATATGTATAATTAAAAAAAAAAAGTTAATCTCATAGAAGTAGAGAGTAGAAGGGTAGTCACCAAAGGCTAGGGGTGTTGAGGGAAAGGAAACTGGGGAGACACTGATCAAAAAAGACATAATTACAGTTAGATAGGAGGATTAAGTTCAAAAGATCTATTATACAGCTTGGTGACTATAATTAATGATGATATATTTCTTGGAAAATGCAGAGAATTGGTGTTAAGTGTTACCACAAAAATGACTGTATGTGAGGTAATGCATGTGTCAATTAGCTAGATTTAACCATCTCACCGTGTATATATACTTCAAAACATCACATCATGCATGATAAGTACATATAATGTTGTCCATCAAGTTTGAATAAATAAATAAATAAATGGAAGGTTCCTTGACTTAAGAGTTCATGGTCTATTAAAGGCAAAAGACAACTGCGTTAAGATTTTCCACGCAGAGTAAACACAATGACACAGAAATATCCCTAGAAGGATTGTTTGAATCAAGCAGGAAGGTCAGCTAACAGTTGTATTTCATGTCATGAAATAAATCCACCTCCTTTATCACAAAGGTGATGCCCTAATACTGTCTGGTTTCCACTTCTCCATCTTGGCAAAGCACTGTTGATAGGTGAAGACAACGTCAAAATATCTCTGAGAATCACAGTCATAGCCTCCTGTTCCCATACTTCATAAGGTTCAGCATCACATTAGACTAACAACTAATCTAAGTTGGAAAATATATAAACAAGTCCAGTGGTTGTTAAGAATAGGCATGCATATACCAAGAAAAACATAAGCCATGAATTTACAGCCTGGTACATAAATACTGTATTTCTAGTTGAAGTTTTAAACCATATTATTACATCTATTTTTTGGTTGTTTACTATCTGAATAAAAGTAAGCTATCTGAAAGTATAAATGCTTATCATATTATGTGCTAAATTAGAAGGCAGGTTGATTAGATACATCATAAATCAAGTCTTTTAGTTATGAAAACACACAAATAAGGCCTTCCTCTCCCCTAAAATAAATTTACATTATAAGAAAAACATTTTTGAAGCTATGTGCATAACATTTAAAATGCTAATATGCACCCAAAAATAAAGACTTAACATACAGAAAAGCAGTGCATATGTACACTAAAATTTATAATTGGTGACTTGCTACTCATAGTGCCTATAGAATCAGGTAAAAGAGACTGAGTGCTTTAAACAATATATATGTTCTCACAAGTGCTTGATAGAAAATCAAAGCACATTCATGATTTTCTTCCAATACATCAGTCTTTAAAAGAAGCCAAAGACCAAAGACAACAAACAATATACATGGCCCATTTGTGTATTCTGCTTTTATAAATATGGTCATTTTAACCTGAAGAGCCTCATTTGAAATGCAGGGCTACCCACATATTTGATATATACCATTTTTTCAGACCATCTGAAGGCCATTCAATTTCCCCATGGTCAGGGTGACCTCATAAGATTTGGGCATGGCCCAGCCTGGCTCAGAGGTGAAATCAAGGCAGCAAGATCACCCAGCAAAGTTGTTTTGCTCTAACAGCCCTGTGACATGAATGACCAAAGCCAAGGAGAATGAAGATTGCCCAGCCTTTGTCAAATGGAATTGCCAGTTCTCCTAATGACATTTCCCTACCTCACTAAGAAGCAGCTGCATTTAGCAAAAAAAGCTAAGGTACTACTGATTCTACATCTTGAAACTGTGGGTCTTCAGGCACAAACATACTGGTCATCTGTGTGGATTGTGGGATTGTTACTGAAACCTGGGTTTGAAATAACAGTTTTGAGAAGTTTGATCTATCCATTCCAACCTGGTTCTGTATGGCCTTAGAGAGCTGATACTTGAAGACTCCAGTGAATGTCCCTCCCCCACAGGCTAAACAGCCAGGGCCTCCAGAATTTCAGCTTAGACATTCATTTCTTGGGCAATTTTTCTCTTGGGGTGGAAAACAATGGACTCTTTCCATTTTTTTTTTCTTGTCAACAAAGGACTCTAAGATGAAGTCCTTTCAATTGCATCCTTTCCGACTTCTTTATAAATGACGAGTGGGCCAGGGGAGTGGGGGGAGCGGCCGAGCAGGGAAGAGGTGACAGGCAACTCACCTCCTTCAGCTGCTCCAGCTCCTGTTTGAGGCTGTCGTACTCAGCCTCCAGCTCGTCATACTGCTGTTTGAGGGTCAGCTTCTCTTCCAGTACCACCAGCCCGTACTCAGCAGCCTGGATCTTCTCGTGGGTCGTCTCTGTGAGCTCCTTGGTCAGCCTCTCTATCTCGGTCTTATAATGGTCCACCGTCTGCAATACCTCTTCTGCGGCCATAGCCCCGGTGGATGAAGACAGGAGGGGGTGACCGGGTCGGGGAGATGGGTGCAAAGCAGGCGGGGAACGGGAGAAGCAAATGGGGAGGGGAAGCAAAAACGGAAAAGAAAAAGTGTGCCTGGATGAATGAGCAAAGCAATGCCCTGACGGCTCTGCTGGCCGAGGCAGCTACACTGCCCGAGAAATTGACGCGAAATGCAACATGGAGAATGTAGGCGAGAGGCTCAGGGGCGAGGCGGCAGCTGCTGCGGCATGTGTCCTCTGGGCCGGCCCCTGCGTGCGGTCAGCAGCGGTGCTGCATGGCCTGGGCTGCGGCGGCCGGGGGGCGGCGAGGGGCTCCGGATCCCGTTATTCAGAGGCGCGGGGCCGCCATGTCTCCCGGCAGCGTCACTGCAGTCTCCCCCTGGGTCTAGCGCGCTCCGGCTCCTGGCTCGCTCGCTCGCTCCACCTGCTCCCTCTGGCCCTGCAGCAGCGGGTGCGGAATGATGCAGTCTCGGGCCCTTCCCGCCTGCCCTCGGCTCCAGGCAGGGGGCGGGGAGCGGATGGAGTCAGCGCGGGGGGGCGGGGGGGAGGAGGGAAGGACCAGACGGAAACGTCCCGAGGCGCCTCCCGCCGGGCGCGCAGGCTGCCACCACTGGCTGCACCGCCCGGCGCGCGAGGCAGAGGCCGACCTGGCGGGGAGGCATCGGGAAGCTAGGAAAGCCTGGCGCCTGTGCCCGGCCCGGTACCTTCCAGAGCCTCGTCCCCTGAACTTCGAAGCCCCCGAGGGTGGTGTGGGCGCCCCAACTATCTCGCTGCCTTGTGGATCAAAGCTCAGGAAACTGCCTGGAACTGGTGCCTTCTCCAAGGGAACGCAAACAAAATCAAGATCAGGGCCCCCCACGCAACCTTCTTCCCGACCGTGGGACCTCTGGCTCACTGTAACCTCTCCTAGCTTCCTACATCCTAACAAATGCTGCTTCCAAAGCTTCCCAACTGTGGCCCCTAAGACACTTGCCCTCCCTCATCCTCTTCTCCCTGCGCCCCACGCCCCCCCACCCCCAATCTTGCCGGATCAACCAAACTCGCCATTAAAGAACCTTACCATCCCCCCTCAAGACAGGCTTCCCTAAAATTGTTTGTCCTTGCTGGGCGTGGTGGCACTTGCCTGTAATCCCAGCGACTGGGAAGGCTGAGGCAGGAGAATCACAAGTTTGAAGCCGGCCTGGGAAACTTGGGGAAATCCAGTCTCAAAATAAAAAGTAGGGCTGGGGATGGCGCTGGATGGTTTAAAAAAAAAAAAAAAATGTGTTCAATCCCCACTACCCAAACACACACACACACACACACACACAGACACACACGATTACTTGCCTTCAACCAACCTATTCTGGTCCAGTTTATCACAGGATCATTGTCTACTCTGGAAAATACCATTATAACCCATGTACCAAATAAGCCTTTAGGCACTATTTCCTCCCAATGGTTCTTCCATCGAGTCACCTTACTCTATTTCATTAAAGAATGAAAGAAATGTCCATGAAACTCCCTTTACAAGGTATCTATAATACCCTACAACAAACACTGTAAATATAAGGGCAAGGAGTTCTTGAGATCATGTGCCAAGCCTTCTTCTGAGTTTGTTATATCAAATTTCTTCAGTTCTTACAAGGATTCTGTAATGTAGGAGCCACTGTCTCCAATGTATAGGTAGTGAAAGAAAGTCACAGGAAGGTTGGGTGATTTGCTTCAAGTCAGGCAACTCTTTGAAGTGATGAAGCCTTCCCTGTTCAGGCGCAAAAAAAAAAAAAAAAAAAAAAAAGAGTGAAGTGATGAAGCCCTAAAATGGATTATTAAGTTGGCTTCACCTCACTCATTTCTAATACAAGCTTAGCAACAAAATAGTATGTGTTTGTAAGATAACAACATTAATATGAAAGTGATGAAGAAGTGTCGTAAAAGGACAAAAAAGCAAAGAGATGAAAAGGGTTGGAAAGAAATGAGGAGAGAGAACAATCAAGAGGGAAAGGAAGAGCAGGAGAGCAAAGAACAGTTGTGTGTAAATAGGAGGCCGTGGGTTCCATAGACCAATGGGTCTCACCAGTTCCTTCCCTCTCTCCTATTGAGAGGCACCTATTCCAAAGTGTTTCTCAGTGGCCACGATGTGTTCAACACTGAATTTTCAGAACCAGAGAGCAGAAACCAACCCTACACTGTGCATATGGTATAGGAAAGAAGACAATGGATGGTGTGGGAGGAAAAGAAAATGAAAAACCTTTAGAAAGCTTCCAGTAACAGGCTCTCTGGAGGTAATTTCCATTGCTTCAGAAACCAGAACCCCTTCACACCAAAAAAAATAAAAATAAAAAGATTCCCTCCAAATGCTTACAATCAAAATATTCTCTTGCAATTATCTGATATAAATAAAGGGGAAACTGTGCAGCCACCATGAATTCCAACATCAAAGAGGAGCTGGGATGATAATAATCCCATCATTACACCAATGCTTCCCAGGCCTCACCCTCCAAATGAAAAGCCCCTCATGTGTGCCCCTGTTGCACCTGTCCTTTGTCACACTGATGAACGATCATGAGCTGCAAAAGAGAGGAAACTCACAATTGCGGAGATTTTTGTGTTATGTCCCTGAATGGTCCTCACTCCACAAACTAAGCAGAGCTCTTCCAAAGGAATCATAATACACAGAGTATTATGGGATAGAACTAAATGGAGTTTGCCTCTGTGGCTTTTCTTGTTTTAAGTTTCCATTGCTGCCCACTCCCTATGCTCTATCATAGGGAGTGGGCAGCAATGGAAAGTGTATCCCTCATCGATACACTTTTGTTAACTTTATTCAAGCCTGCATACTATTTTAACACTTCAAGATTTTGCTTAGTTCAACTTCAGTCTTTTATATGTTGATATTTAACTTGAAGAATTTCTTATACCCAATTCTTCCAGTACTGCAAGTTACAATTCCCTCTTTTTTCATATATGTCTGAATACTTGTGTATTCAGACATATATGTGTGTGTCAATGAGATATACATCAATGACAGGTACATGGAAAATAATTTGGGTTTTGCTTTGGGTTTTTTTTTGTTTGGTTTGGTTTGGTACTGGGATTGAACACAGCATTATTTATCACTGAGTTACATTCTTGAATCTTTTATTTTTATTTTATTTATTTATCTGTTTGTTTGTTTGTTTTTTGAAACTAAGTTGCTCAGAGTCTTGCTAAACCACTGAGGCTGGCTTCAAACTTGCAATCCTCCTACCTCAGGTTTCCGGGTCACTCAGATTACAGTCATGCACCTCTGAGTCCAGCAGAAAATAATTTCTTAAACTATTCCTAGAAGCAGGGTTTCCTATACTTTCTTATCTTAGCAGTCTCCAATTATCCTGAAACTTTCTTTTTACAAATATTTAGGAGGGAAATTGTATTTTGTACCATAGTCCTCTAACCAATCTGTCACCAACTTTGTCAGCATGGATATTGTTTTCTTTTGCTATCACTCATTCATTCACTCATTTAAAAGATGTTTATTAAACACCTACTGTGAACAACATACAATAGTAGGCACTGTGAAATCAATGACCAATAATGGTTGTCAATAGTTCCTTATGTCGAAGTGCTTATGTTCTGAAAGGGACAAGAAAAAAAAAAAAGCAAACAACCACCACCACCAAAAACATTAATTACTGGGATAATTCTAAATTGTGACATTGGCAGGCAGGATGTAACACAGTGGTTAAGAAGACAAGCAAGTCTACTTGATTCAAATCCAACTTTGACACATACTTGCTATATGTTTCTCAGTTCTTTCATTCTTAAAAGGGGGATAATAATATAACCTACTATTATGAATAGAATAGTATCTGACACCTAATAAGCAGAATTTTTTAAAGTTTTTGAAGAAAAAACAAAGATAAACAGAAAGAAGAAGTAACAGGATGATTATTGGAGATCTCTCTGAATAAGTGATAATGTATTATCCTATTATCTTAAGAACAAGAGTTGAACATGTAAAATGTTGCAGGGGGAAAGCTTTCCAAAAAAACAGAGTAACATCTAAAAGCCTACAGCAGAAAAGAGCTTTGTGAATGCAGAGAATAAATATCACAAAGGCTAGAGTTTAATAAGCAAAACAGAGATGGTCCAAGACTATAACAGAATAATAAACAACACTGGAAATACAGGGATTATACTTGCTTTGCAGGTCAGAATGAGGAATCTGGGATTTATTCTCAGGGCAGTGAGAGGTCTTTGGTTATTCTTTAAACTGAAGATAAAATGATTTGGATTGTAAGAATATTTGTATTGTGAGATTAGAGGCATCAAAAGACAGAAGTGGGGCTGGGACTGTGGCTAAGTGGCAGAGCACTTGCCTTGCACGTGTGAGGCACTGGGTTCAATCCTTAGCACCACATAAAAATAAACAAATGAAATAAGCATGCTTCACATCTATAGCTACAAAAAATACTTTAAAAAAAAAGAAGTATACAAGGAACTGGGTTCAGTGACCAATATTGGGGAAAAAAAAAAAAAACCTGAAAGATAGGAGTGGGGTCACTAGTTAGGAAGCTATTGCTATTGTCCAGGAGAAAGAAGATGGTGATCTGGACCGAGAATGATGGCATGAAGGAAAATAGATGGATTCCAAATCAATTGGGGCATGGAATGGAAAAATAGAACTATAAGGACCTGGTTTGAGATTGGATGTGGAATAAGGAGAAAATATGAATCCTGAGACAATTCTCATTTCTTTTTTTTCCCCCCCCTGGGTACCAGGGATTGAACTCAGGGGCACTCAACCACTGAGCCACATCCCCAGCCCTATTTTACATTTTATTTAGAGACAGGGTGTCACGGAGTTGCTTAGTGTCCCGCCATTACTGAGGCTGGCTTTAAATGTGTGATTCTCCTGTCTCAGCCTCCAGAGCTGCTTGAATTACAGGTGTGTGCCACCACGCCCAGCCTCATTTCTGACTTGGACAGTTGGGAAGATGGTTTGTCATTTAGTTAGATGGGGCAGATGCAGGAAATTCAGAGTTCTATTTTGGACATATAAAATTTAAGACAGTTTGAAGATATTTGAGTAGAAATGTTAAATTGACCATTTAAGGTAAGGCCAGAATTAAGAAAAGACTTTTTTAGGAGGTATAACTATTTTCTTCAGGAAACCATTGGTATTAAATGGAGAGACTGCAGGTGTGGCTCTGTGGTAGAGTGCTTGCCTAGCAGGTGTGTGGGAGGGCATGGGTTCCATCCCCAGCAACACAAAACAACAACAACATGGAAATGAATGGGATCATCTGAGGAAAGGTGTAAATAGAGAAGAGAAGGAGGAGGTCCAGGACCTAGCTCTGAGGTCCTTCTATTGAAAGCTGAAGGTTGAGTTGAAGAGGAAAAGCCAGCCTAGGAAATTAAGAGGGACCAGTCAGTGTAAAAGGAAGAAAATCAAGAGAGAAACATTGGAAAGGGAGCAAAAGTGAGAAGAAAAAAAAAATTGAAGAGTGAGGCAATGAGCACT